AGAACTGACAGAGCTATCCAGTATAAATAAAGTTAGTTTAGTTTAGGTTTCCTCCTGTAGTAACACTGGATCAATAAGAGATGATCCTTACTGGACTTCTAGGAAGAACAGTTTAGAACTGACAGAGCTATCCAGTATAAATACACAAATACTTCCAGCTGTGTCAAAAATAGTATTAACGTGTTTGATCAATATTGTTCAGTACCTGAACGCAAGCAAATGCAAAGCCGAGCCCTCCAATGATGTGTAGATGATCATTGATCCACCACTTCAGTGTAACAATGCATCCATCAGTATATATCACATGCTTCGCTTCGATTTCCTGAAAATAATACAACGTAAGCACTGTCCGCGGTGGGAATCAAACCAGCGACCTTTGCATTGCTAGTCAAAGCTATGCTTGCCCGGTGTGGATACTCTCAGAGTATAACAGAAAAAAATAACATTTCATGAACACTGAGCGTCTGAACTTACATCTTTTTCTCTTATTCCAAAACCACATTGACTGTTCATCCCGACCTAAAATGCACATCAAACAATTCTTGGAAATATTCCTTCATTGGAAACGTTCTATCATACACACTCACAAATGCTGTGCGCCGGAGCGATCGCTCTGGGAGGACGGAGAGTGTTGGCATCGTGCCAAATTGCACACTGTCAAAATGAATCAAAATTAAAGGCTAAGCTCCATAGATATTTCCTATCTGGTCAATGTTAAGTGTTTTTGTGTCAAAGAAACGCTGTGCGCTCAACGCCGGAGACATTGGTCACTTAGCGTTCCAGGGTGTTAGCCAGAAAAAAGGTTTTGTCGTCTAAACGAAAATTGGGAAAGTTTTTATGACCGATCAAAGTCCTTGTGTTGGAATAAATAGTGTTTTTTTCCAACGCGTTTCTCCTTAGATGCAAACAACGGTAGCTTGGTTTTGTACATTTCATTTCCGGTGAATGAACACTGAAAAATGCACCCGATGGCACTTCGTTTTGTACATTTCAGTGAATACTCACCCAATATGAATGAAACGCGATACATTTTGAGAAAATAGTTAATGGGAAAAAGTAAATAAAACGTTCTTTGATATAATAATATAAAATCAAACGCAATGCACTTTCTCATCAGAAAAAATGAAAATCTTCCAGTAGACCCAGTTAGGAAAGCCCCTTAGCTACTTCAATTGGGAAGAGTCTGTCAAACGGACAGTATATGGGCTAGCTAACACCCTGCGTTCATTAAATTTAATTACAAAAAGTTTTAAAAATCTTCGGCAATTTGTACTTTCCACTTTAATATTTGTTGCACAGCGCTAAATCTCACTCTGACCAGTCTCTGGGTTAGTTCAACTCATATGAACAGGTTTTGAGTGATACCAAAATCACTTACAGTTTTGCAACAAGAGAAAGGGACGCCACAAGCCAAGACATCTCCTGAAGAGCATTTGAAGTAAGAATTATGATTCCAGTCGTTGAATGTATAAGCACCACAGCATTCAAACTTCTTCTGTATTTCATCCATGATGTATTGTGAGTCCGGATCATCATGATAGTCAGCAATGCCGTGTTTGATCAGGTCAAATACTCTGTTTTCCGTCTCAAGAATAGAAAAGTGAATATTAAGATTAGTATTTCTACAGCGCATATATACATGGGCATGCGATCAAATGCACTTTACATCAAGTATTACCCTTACATACTTAGCCTAGACTATTTTACCTTTACAACAATTGTGATATTACTTTCTTAACTGTGTTTATCCTAACCCACCCTGTCAACTTTCCCTGTGGGAGGGAATCCGAGCACCCTGAGAAAAGCCACGACTTTTGGCAGAGCGTTGACTGACTCTTTTCACACAAGCGAGTCCATAGCGAGAATGGCCCCCATGAACTCCGAGGTGAAAGGCGCTCACAGATTTATGATTTTGGGAGTGTTTCCAGGGAGTATAATTATAAAATTTGTGAGTCATGATGAAGACTAATTACCTTATCAGCATAAAGAAACGCAACCAGAGCAGTAATAATTTCAATTATGAAAAGAATCACTATCATAGCCATGTACTGTAATAGAGAAACACAATTTCTATATTTTGCCTCTGTCACATAGAGAAATAGTGCTTCTACCAAAAAATACAGGTTTTTAACTGCATGGTACGTACAGTAGTTCATTTCCCCCTTATTGAACCTCCAGGAAGAACAGTTTATAGAACTGTTAGAGCTATCCAGTATAAATAACGTTAGTTTAGTTTAGGTTTCCTCCTGTAGTAACACTGGATCAATAAGAGATGTTCCTTACTGGACCTCTAGGAAGAACAGTTTAGAACTGTTAGAGATATCCAGTATAAATAAAGTTAGTTTAGTTTAGGTTTCCTCCTGTAGTAACACTGGATCAATAAGAGATGATCCTTACTGAACCTCTAGGAAGAACAGTTTAGAACTGATAGAGCTATCCAGTATAAATAAAGTTAGTTTAGTTTAGGTTTCCTCCTGTAGTAACACTGGATCAATAAGAGATGATCCTTACTGGACCTCTAGGAAGAACAGTTTAGAACTGATAGAGCTATCCAGTATAAATAAAGTTAGTTTAGTTTGGGTTTCCTCCTGTAGTAACACTGGATCAATAAGAGATGATCCTTACTGGACCTCTAGGAAGAACAGTTTAGAACTGTTAGAGCTATCCAGTATAAATAAAGTTAGTTTAGTTTAGGTTTCCTCCTGTAGTAACACTGGATCAATAAGAGATGATTCTTACTGGACCTCTAGGAAGAACAGTTTAGAACTGATAGAGCTATCCAGTATAAATAAAGTTAGTTTAGTTTAGGTTTCCTCCTGTAGTAACACTGGATCAATAAGAGATGATCCTTACTGGACCTCTACTGTAGGAAGAACAGTTTATAGAACTGTTAGAGTTATCCAGTATAAATAAAGTTAGTTTAGTTTAGGTTTCTTCCTGTAGTAATACCGGATCAATAAGAGATGATCCTTTCTGGACCTCTAGGAAGAACAGTTTAGAACTGTTAGAGATATCCAGTATAAATAAAGTTAGTTTAGTTTAGGTTTCCTCCTGTAGTAACACTGGATCAATAAGAGATGATCCTTGTACTGAACCTCTAGAGAGAACAGTTTAGAACTGATAGATCTGTCTATCCACAGATTGAGTGCATTAAAGTACATTAGCTTTCTATTTAGAATTCAGAATAAGTCAAGCTGAATTTGCTTTTATTCAATGCTGCAGCTAATGCAGAACTCCAGCAGTTTTAGTATGTGGACACGTTGTAGCTCACCATTTTTAAAAGAAACAAGTTTTCCCTCAAAGTGCCGACGCATCCTGTAAACGTGATGACAAACAGTATGGAGCCAATCACCAGCAACAAGATGGCGGGATCAGAACTCAAGTTGTCAATTCCAAGACTGTGTTTCTCCTGTAGTATCCATATTCCGATGCAGATGAAGAATATGGAGAAGATCCAGGCAATAACGTTGACGGCAAATATCAACAGACGAATCGCAAAATAGACCTCGTCTTCAGAGTCTGCAATGAATTTTCGTAGTGGAGCTGGGAGCCTCATGTTATCATTCTCATCTGGCAAAGAAAGGGGAAAAACAATGAATATTATCAACCTTCTATAACAGCTTGATGTACTTCAGGTAAGCGTTTGTGAATCATTGCTCTCAAATAGTCTGAGAACGAGGTTTCGTGCCAAATTTTAATGTTTCTATGGCAAATTAACACTGAACTTTGACTTAGCATTGTCATTCTTGATAGCTAGAGCATAATTCGGAAATGGGGCCTATTCTAACTGTTTTTCCGCATTACAAATTAATATAGTACAGGACACTGCAGTATAAATATACTACAACATATTATGAACATTTGAAAAATGTTTTATACTAATATATACTGCTCATAATACAATACCTATATATATAAACGTTAATTCTTTAGAAAATTATGAACACATTCAAATGCAAATATCTCCATTAGTTTTATATACAATTACACAAAAGTGACAAAACACACTCTTTAATAGCGTCTATATACATACATAAAATGTCAATATTGAATCACAAAAATGTGTAAATTGTACAACGTACGTGTATAAACTAGCTTGACTTTAAGTTAGAAGTGGCATGAACATCGTGGCTTCTTCATAAGTCGAAGACAACGTGAAAATAAATAAAACAGAATGCATAGCAACGGTCAAATGAAAACAATATTTATATATTTTTGTTGCCACCTGTTGCAAATTATATATTCCAAGAAGAAGCCTTGCCTGCGAACAGGTTGACAAACATTGGCCAAATCCGACGATACGAAATTACCAAAATAGCCCAAGCACGTAGTCGACCTTTTTAACGAAACGTGCGCCATCTTTAAATCGCGATGCATTGTCGGAAGAGATTATTTCGCTGGCCTCAGAGTGACAAAACGTAACAAAGCAACGGTTTTACTGACACTAACCCTATTCCAAACACCAACTCTAACCCTAACCCTAACCCCAACCCTATCCCTAACCTAACCCTACTCCAAATTTGTTTCTAAACCAATCTTGAAAAAAAAGTTTTGATGGAATGTCATTCTGAGGTCAGCGAAATAGCCTGCATTGTCTGTGGCATTGTGGTTTATGCAAATTACACTCGACTGTAGAGGAAAAGGACTGTTTAAACTGACGGAGTCACTGTCAGCAGTTGAATAATTCTACACCTATTTTTTGCATGCTACTATTTATCAAGTGATGCTGGCAAATATATTAACGGCTTATTGACCGAGCGTGAGGTCTGTACTGTGAAATACCAGACCGAGGTTTTTTAGTATGGACCGAGCGACGAATGAGCGAGGTCCATGCAAAAAACATAAAGTCTGATATTTCACAGTACGGACCGAACAAGCGAGGTCAATAATCGCCTTATTATATCGGGCTGAACTGAGTCTGTGAGCATATGCTTTTCGCGCGAATTAAATCGGTTATCGTCAGTTTCACTGGGTAACAATACACGGTAGACACGCATGGTCAATCAAAAACAATTTGGTTGTTTGAAATTTTTATATGTAAAGCACAATTGGAAAAAATTTTTCTGTTTGCAAAGCAAAAATTTCCCGCCAGATAAACGAGGTCTGGATATTGGTTTTTACGGACCGCTTGTCTTGTCAACCACTAATAAAAGCGGTTACTGAGCCGTTTCAGTATACTGCAAACCATCAATAATCGCGACCACTTTTCGGCAAATTTCCCTCGCTAAAAGCGTGACGATCCATTCAAATAATCTATTTTCACATGGCATTCAACAGAACGGCTGTGCAAACACCGTATTCTACGCTTTTACATTGTGTAAACACTTTAAAATGTGCCCGAATTAATGCTACTATTTCGGTATTGTTCACCTTCTTGACTCAAATCAAGTGAAAAGATTCGTTCGCTGAGAACCTAGAGCTTTTTGGCATTGGTAAGTTTCAGAGACGATTTAATTTCTCAAAAATTAAAAAAGACGACTGGTCGAAAAGACGACAAGTGCTGCATATTTTGCTTAAAACTAAAACTGTCTATCCAAACATATGTAAGGTTTCTTTGCGAGTTCAAGAAGTCTGAAAATAAATCCTTAACTTTCACTTACTTTGTTAGTTTTACGTTTAAGTGCCCCGGGTTTCTATGAAAGGTCACGCAAGCGCATGGATTTCGTGCAGAATTTATTATGAGGTTTACACGTAATCTCGGGCTGGTAATTGGCGGTCGGAATAAAAATAATTTAAGACATTGTTTGCTTAATAGTTTATGCTTATTGTTTCTTAATATGGCGTGTTAATATAATAGGAAACAGTATATCTGAAAAGTAGTTTAGTTTGGGTTTCCTCCTGTAGTGACACTGGATCAATAAGAGACGACCCTTACTGGACCTCTAGGGAGAACAGTTTAGAACTGATAGAGCTATCCAGTATAAATAAAGTTAGTTTAGTTTAGGTTTCCTCCTGTAGTAACACGTACAGGATCAATAAGAGATGACCCTTACTGGACCTGTAGGAAGAACAGTTTAAAACTGATAGAGCTATACAGTATAAATAAAGTTAGTTTAGTTTAGGTTTCCTCCTGTAGTAACACTGGATCAATAAGAGATGATTCTTACTGGACCTCTAGAGAGATCAGTTTAGAACTGATAGAGCTATCCAGTATAAATAAAGTTAGTTTAGTCAAACTGTTTAAGTTTAGTTTGTCAACAGTACAAGGTATTAAAGCAATTTCGCAATGCTAATGAGTTTAAGCTGTCATTTTTCTTTAATATGAAAAATACCAGACGCTGCGTGACCTTAAACTTCTCAATCGTTTCGTGACGAAAACTTTATTCAATTACTGGTTTTTACAGACGGTTGGAATTTTAATCAACTTAAGATCCGGTTACATTGTCATGCGCTGGCAGATTTGACAGATTTAAGTAGCTAGTCAGGTCTCACAAAACCTAAGAATGATATAAATATTACAGAAAATAAGATAGCTAGTTAGTCACTTAGTTTGTCTTACACGCTGTATGTTGTCTGGTGTTCTTCAAATTCCAAATGACAAATCTACTTATTAAAATTTTATAGTACTATTTCACTTTATTTATACTGGATACAGGATAGCTCTATCAGTTCTAAACTATTCTTCCTAGAGGTCCAGTAAAGATCATCTCTTATTGATCCAGTGTTACTACAGGAGGAAACCTAAACTACACTAACTTTATTTATACTGGATAGCTCTATCAGTTCTAAACTGTTCTCCCTAGAGGTCCAGTAAAGATCATCTCTTATTGATCCAGTGTTACTACAGGAGGAAACCTAAAACTAAACTAACTTTATTTATACTGGATAGCTCTATCAGTTCTAAACTGTTCTCCTAGAGGTCCAGTAAGGATCATCTCTTATTGATCCAGTGTTACTACAGGAGGAAACCTAAACTAAACTAACTTCATTTATACTGGATAGCTCTATCAGTTCTAAACTGTTCTCCCTAGAGGTCCAGTAAGGATCATCTCTTATTGATCCAGTGTTACTACAGGAGGAAACCTAAACTAAACTAATTTTATTTATGCTGGATAGCTCTATCAGTTCTAAACTGTTCTCCCTAGAGGTCCAGTAAGGATCATCTCTTATTGATCCAGTGTTACTACAGGAGGAAACCTAAACTAAACTAACTTTATTTATACTGGATAGCTCTATCAGTTCTAAAGATCTCTAAACTATTCTGGACCCATTAAGGATCATCCTTATTGCTCGACTACTAAAGGAAAACTGACCTAAACCAACATTAAACTCGACTTTATATACACTGGATAGATCTCTGTTTTGTCTAGAGGTCAAGAAGGAGCATCTTTTTATATTTTTTCACAGCACGAAACAGGAGATATCATGTGGTGTTTGATGGAGTCAAATTGCAAACACCATTCTTTCACGAGACTGAGGAAAATTTATGATCACATAACCGCATATTGCAGGAATGAAGTGGTGAAAAACACTTCTAAACCTCTTCGCTACCAGACAAAAGTGTTAAAAACTTAAGAGCAAAAACACAACACTACAACAGTCTTTATATTCAAACACACGCCCACCCCTGGCAATTCACCAACGTGTTTAAAAGACCGGAATCACGCACTTTGTCAATCCATCAACACGATCAGCTGTTTGTCATTTCAGAGCTCTTCCTGTGGTGTTTGGAATGCAATTAACTGAAGGTATAAAAGGCCGCATTTGCATGATCAGACATATCACGCGCCGACGTTCTGGTGTTCGGAGTTTCTTGATGGCGATCTTAGCAGATTAGCAGATTCTAGGATTATCGAAGGTAGGATATTAACATCTGTGTGTTAGTTAGAGCTTTTAGAAGCTTGTAAACGCCTAGCAAGCATTGAAATGTATTCTAGACCATGTGAGATTGCTTTAAGATGTGTGCGTGAGCTAGAATATAGAGTTATTATGCTATTATATAATCATGTCTTGCCACTTAAACAGCGAACGTCATATAAATGCTCTAATTACATCTCCGGTACAAAACCACAGGATTCATGGCAATGCGTCTCAATAGGTTTGTTGTTGTTATTTCATGATAAAAGTCAGGGTTGCATAATCATAAAGAATCTTTGTTAAGTCACCAACGGCCTCTCCGCTGTCGTGAGGCGTGTGTCGAGGATAGCGAGCAGTCGAAGAACTTAACATTTCGATGGCTGCAATTCGCGAGACATTTCAAGACTGGATTAATAAGAGATGATCCTTACCGGACCTCTAGGAAGAACAGTTTAGAAGTGATAAAACTATCCAGTACAAATAAAGTTAGTTTAGGTTTCTTCCTGTAGTAACACTGGATGAATAAGAGATGATCCTTACTAGACTTCTAGGGAGAACAGGTTAGAACTGATGGAGCTATCCAATGTAAATAAAGTCACTGGATCAATAAGAGATGATCCTTACTGGACCTCTAGGTAAAACAGTTTAAAATTGATAAAACTATAAAGAAAGTTAGTCGATGGTAACCAAAACATTATTTTGATGTTTACAAGTTACAACCGTTTCTATGCAACGGTAGCGGGACACGGTGTGAATACCAGAGCTTTTGTCTACGGGGAGTAATGGTTTGCCCGCTGAATCTGTGTCCATAATTAAATAGACATTGTATTTCATTCGGAAAAACATCCGCCCGCGGTGTTTGAATGGTCTTTATCAGTTTCAACATCTCCACGTCGTTTACGATAAAACAACTTTCAAAATTGGATTTCATTTTATTTTCAAAACTTTTACTCACTATCTAGTAAACTTTTTGGTCAAAGAATGAAATTGTTTAAGCACCAAGGCAGTACACTGACCAGTAAACGGTTAAGATATATTTCATGCAGAAAAACCGAGGAAATAATGACCGTGCATAAAAATAAAATATATCTTACCAGCGAGGTCTTTGAAGCTTCCATATAAACCAAACATACACGCATACTAGAAAACATTAGCGTGTCCATTTTCGCGTATATATTGTCCTTGTATCGGCATTATAAAATCGTTTTGCCTTCTTCCTGTTCCCGAGGTCTTTTGGGTCAGTAAATTACAGCGGTGAAGGAACTTCAACAAACCTGAAAAAAAAAACCAATCCATGTATTTCAATAACGACCATCCTTATTGGTCCATCCTTATAGAACCATCGAGTTAAACTCTGCAGTGTTTAGAAGCATCAAGTTAAACTTTTCATGGAACAGTGTTATAAATATTTGAGAATGGAATGGAGATGTTTTGGTGCACGTCATTTACAATCCGCCTGCACCGATCCCGCGATCCACGTTCCTCGACTATTTGATAAAACTTGCCTGCTGTCAGTGCTGTGATCAATTTATAAGTCCGGAAATATTTGCCCGCGATTTGCCTTTAGTCCTGTTGATGAAGAAAATGAAATAACATGACCATATTAAAACAAATTTTCACGTCCTCCAAGTACGTAAAAGAAGCTATGTATATTAATTTGTTGCGTGATGTCTTGGAATGGTCCCCATTATAGAATTATTTAATTAACTATAGATAATGCAATTAAAATATTTTGTAAAGACAAAACAATTTGATCAATTCCACATTGTAGATCAGTCTCAAGTCTTTGAAAGAGGCTTATACAGTCATATATTTGATACAAAAAAACAACTTTTGATAGTGTAAACTAGTGTAGAGTCTTTGAAAGAGGTTTTGTAACTGTCAGACTCACATGTTTTGATCAAATAAACTATAAACCAGTATTAAGTTACACTGTCACACAGTTTGATCAAAGAAACTTCGATCCTATATTACGCGCGCAAATTATATATTCAACATGTTTAGATGATGCAATAATACTTGATTTATACCCGTGCTCTTCTGACGGACGGGTCAAAGTCATACGTCATGGTGTGAAATTAAAACGAATACACAGCCATATAATATAGAGCCCTATAACGGATTGTCTGGGATATAATAACTCTAGAAGCAAGCGGAGAATTAAATCTAGGAATGGGTAGATACGAATCTATGGTATGGTACAATATTAATTGTATTATCTCTGTGTAAACTTTGCAATAATATGTGCGATTAAATATATTGTGTTTATCTTGTATGCGGTCTTAATATAACAATATTATATTTTACATATATATATTTATATAACTATATATTCGCATGGATGATGCATTCTTAATTAAGAAATTAACTTTAATCTGCGTTTATTTTGCACACAGTAAAATAAGAAAGTAGAAGGTTTAATATGTCATATTTTTGATATGTCGCCGTTGAGACTAGCTTCCCAGCGGGTGGCTTAAATAACTAAGTTAATTTTAAAACCTACAGTTATTTTAAGACTTATTAAGTTATTAACGGCAATAATGGTTATGAAGTTTGTTAATAAGCGTATAGAGATATTTAAACGGTTAAGAGTTATTTAATAAGATAGTGTACAATTTGGCGACTAGATGTAAATTTATTCAAAAAAATGTTGTATCTGTTTTTCAAGGTGAAAGTTTTAGCCAATCACAAACTGACACAAATACTATACGTGGCGATTTTTCACGACGAAAATTTAAATATGAGAATTTTTATATTTTATAATAATAATTCTTAAGAATTATACAGGTTCACTTCGTCAGATCTATAAAGTTCTGTTGTCAATGAAGAACATGTAATATTAGAAATAGTCAATTTATAGGGAATGTCATGTTGAATGGCTTCTTTCAAGAGGCATTATTATTAAGAGGATGACAATAGATTTGTCGAAACGTACAATTATAATAAAAAATTTTCCTAATAGTGTCCAATCTTCGTCAAAGCATTTGGCTCATTGCTGGAAGCATAAATCACAAATTTAGTTTTGTATGCTTAAATTACTATAACTCCCCCATACATTTGCTAATGTAAGGCAACATTGGTACCGACGGGAGGGGGGGGGGATGGGGGGGGATAACTGTGTAACAAAGTTTAACAATAATTTTTCAACCATGAAAGCATTCGCTATAAATTGAGTTAAATATTCAGCGCTCTGAAACCTGTTTTCCACCAGATGAATTTATTCGCGCGAAGCGATCTTTGTCGGTGTTGCCTGTCACGAAACAGGCTCGCCGGAATGGCCGGACCACAGATTCGATTCTTGTCAATGCGTTCCGACAACGGTAATGGTTCTGGCAAGAATCAGATCATTTCCAGGTAGTTCGTCTAATGTCGTATTTCTTCTAGACATAGATAGGCGAAAGTATTGAGACGAAATTGGCGCAAAAAATAGTGTGATAATTCGCGTCCTCACGTAACGGAAGTACGGCAATATTACATGGACTGTCGCTAGCCGCTTACTGTTACAATAAGAACAGAAAACGTTCAAGATATTCAAAGCCGTTAACAGATCCGGAGAAAGTGTTTAATGTTGATCAGATCCTGAATTTTCCTTTTTCAAATGTCTATCAAAAGCGCGTAAAATCAATGAAAAATTCGACCGTATATTACGGAATTATGTATGCAACAATAAAATATGCTTGGCTGTATTTATGTTACATCAATACATGTTTCTAAAACGACAGATAATATAAATTATAAAATTATGATTCCATAGATTTTCTTATAATGTTTCTCAGTCTTTTGGAATATGGTTGTCCCCGAGCAAAGCGGAAAAGTCGAATACGAGCGCGAAAGGCTGCCGGGAATCGCTATGAAAATGCATTAATTTGTTAGCGATTCTCAGCAGCCTTTCGCGCTCGTATTCGACATTTCCGCTTTGCTCGTGGACAACCTTAATTGAAATAGCTGTATGATGCAATAGGTGATTCCCATTATAAAACTATAAGCAAGGAGATGCAAATAAATCACCACAGCTAGAAAGAGCATACTAAAATCAGTAAAATTGCAGAGTTTGGCTGCGAAATGTTGTAAAATGAGGAAAATATAGCCTTGCAAAGTTCGCAAATTTTGTATACTTTTGTATTGCGTGCGGAAATTGCTACCATTTCGGCCCAAATGTGGCGGCATTTTCCGCACGCAATACAAAAGTATACAAAATTTGCGAACTTTGCAAGGCTATATTTTCCGCATTTTACAACATTTCGCAACCAAACTTTGCAATTTTACTAATTTTAGTATGCTCTTTCTGGGAATATACTTTTTCCAAGATAAAAATTAGTCTAGAATGGGAATTGTCTGTTGCGTGCCTGGTTCTAACTATGCACGACTTCAGAAGAACAGCGCCCGAAAGGCATCACGCATAATTTGTCTCATGACTCTAGTTCGTCTGGATAGTAATGGGGGCCCGATTCCAGCTATATGGACTAAATTTTGATCAAGGCAAGAAGGACGAAATCCAACACCACAGCTAGAAAGAGCGTCTTCGAATGAGTAACACTGCAAAGATTGGTTGCGAAATGTTGTAAAATGAAGAAAATCTAGCCCTGTGAAGTTCGCAAATTTTGTACTGATACATTTGTATTACGTGCGGTAAAAATAACCACTTTCGGCTCAAAAATGGTTATTTTTCACGCGCTA